GAGCATTGATGATGTGAGGGTGGTATGCAAGTATCCGGATGTCTTTCCAAAGGACTTACCGGGACTTCCACCCGATAGGGAGATTGAATTTGTGATCGAGGTCGAGCCTGGCACCAAACCAATCTCCATACCGCCATACCGAATGGCACCCGCAGAACTTAACGAGTTGAAAACCCAATTGCAAGAGCTTTTGGATAACGGTTTCATTAGACCAAGCCACTCCCCATGGGGAGCACCGGTCCTTTTTGTGAAGAAGAAGGATGGAACACTTCGAATGTGCATTGACTATCGTCAACTGAACAAGGTCACAATCAAGAATAGGTATCCTTTGCCTAGGATTGATGACTTGTTTGATCAACTACGAGGAGCAACTGTGTTCTCGAAGATTGACTTGAGGTCGGGGTACCACCAATTGAAGATCAAAGAGGATGACATACCGAAGAGTGCTTTCCGCACTAGGTATGGACATTTTGAGTTCCTTGTTATGTCGTTTGGGTTGACAAACGCCCCGGCGGCATTCATGGACTTGATGAACCGAGTATTTCACAAATACTTGGACCGATTCGTGATTGTGTTCATAGATGACATCTTAATCTACTCAAAGAGTGAGGAAGAGCATGAGGAGCACTTGATACTCGTTCTCGAGACACTACGGGAGAAGCAACTCTATGCCAAGTTTTCTAAATGTGAATTTTGGCTTAAGGAGATTGGCTTTCTCGGGCATGTGGTTTCGGGATCGGGAATTGCGGTTGATAACAAGAAAATAGAAGCCATTACCGAATGGGAGAGGCCAAAGAACGTCAAGGAAATTCGTAGTTTTCTTGGGTTGGCAGGCTACTACAGAAAGTTCGTGGAGAAGTTCTCCGTTTTGGCATCACCATTGACGAAGCTCACTCGTAAAGGAGCTAAGTTTGTATGGGATGACAAATGTGAGAAAGGTTTCATTGAACTAAAGAGGAGATTGACCGAGGCACCGGTACTCGCATTACCCAAGCAGGGTATGGGGTACGATGTCTATAGTGATGCCAGCATCCAAGGGTTTGGATGTGTGTTGATGCAAATGGGGAGGGTAATTGCCTATGCTTCACGACAATTGAAGAAACATGAGGTAAATTATCCTACTCATGATTTGGAGCTCGGGGCAGTGGTGTTTGCACTTAAGATATGGAGACATTATCTCTACGGGGAGACATGCCACATATACACTGACCACAAGAGCTTGAAGTACGTGTTTACTCAGAAAGAGTTAAACATGAGGCAGAGACGGTGGATGGAGTTGATAAAAGACTACCACCTGGTAATCGAGTACCATCCAGGCAAGGCCAATGTGGTGGCAGATGCCTTGAGCCGGAAAAGCTCATCTGGGGCATTGATAGCTAACTTGAGGGCTTTAAGAGCCCAACTGGAGGTATCCAGTAATGGAGCCTTATTGGCACGATTTGAGGTGAGACCTACTTTGCTTGATGAGATCAAGAAGGGTCAGGAAACTGACGAGGAAATCATAAGGATCCGAGAACGCATGCAAGCGGGACCAGTGGAGGACTTCAGGGAAAGAGATGACGGTCTCTTATTATTTCGTGACCGAGTGTGTGTGCCGGCAGATGGGGAGCTCCGAAAGTCCATCTTAGAGGAGGCTCATTCATCGGCTTATGCCATGCACCCAGGGGGCACGAAGATGTATCGTGACTTGAAAGAAAGTTACTGGTGGTCTGGTATGAAGAGGGAAATAGCCGAGTACATCAGTCGATGCCTTACTTGTCAGCAAGTCAAGGCAGAACATCAGCATCCAGCGGGGTTATTGCAGCCACTTTCCATTCCAGAATGGAAATGGGAACACGTGACTATGGATTTCGTGGTAGGGCTACCACGGACTGTGAAGAACTATGATGCCGTATGGGTTGTGGTTGATAGGCTCACGAAGAGTGCACATTTTCTACCTATCAACACCACCTATGCACTGGAGAGGTTAGCCAAATTGTATGTGGATGAGATCGTGAGGCTACATGGGGTTCCTATAACCATTGTATCCGACAGGGATCCACGATTCACATCACGATTTTGGCCGAAGTTCCAAGAGTCTATGGGGACAAGATTGAAGTTTAGCACTGCTTTTCATCCCCAGACAGATGGGCAATCCGAGAGGGTTATACAGATTTTAGAGGATATGCTGAGAGCCTGTGCATTGGAGTTCCAAGGAAGTTGGGACAACCATTTTGCACTTGTTGAGTTTGCCTATAACAATAGTTATCAGGCAAGTATCGGCATGCCTCCATACGAGGCATTGTATGGGAGGCGATGTCGTACGCCTTTGTGTTGGGACGAAGTTGGCATGGCCAAACTTGAGAGCACAGAATTGGTGGAGATCACCAAGATAAAGGTGAAGATGATTCGTGATAGGCTTAAGGCAGCCCAGGATAGACAAAAGAGCTATGCCGATAAACGCCGGAGAGCCTTAGAGTTTAAGGTGGGAGATGAGGTGTTTCTGAAAGTTTCACCTTGGAAAGGGATCATCCGTTTTCAAAGCCGAGGGAAACTTAACCCACACTACATAGGGCCATTTGTGATTCTTGAAAGAATTGGGGCCGTAGCATACCGACTTCAGTTGACTCCGGAATTGGAGAAGATACATAACGTGTTCCACGTGTCTATGCTAAAGAAATATGTGCCGGATCCGTCTCACGTGTTAGAGAAACCACCCGTGGAAATACGTGAGGACTTGAACTATGCCGTTCGACCGGTAAGGATACTTGATAGACAAGTAAAGAAGTTGAGGAGCAAGAAAGTTCCAATGGTTAAAATCCTTTGGAAAAGTGACCGAGTTGAGGAAGAAACTTGGGAAACGGAAGCCTTAATGAAGGATCAATATGCATTTCTGTTTGAGTAAGCATTTGTGAATTTCGGGGACGAAATTCCCGTTAAGGGGGGGTGAACTTGTGACACCGCACCCGAATGTACTTGAATTTGAAAGTGGATATGTATTTGATTTCTCTAGCGAAGAAATTGTGTATTGACTGGTACATTTAATTAATGTGCGATTAATTAAATTATTTATCGAGCCCATAATAATGGGAATGAGCTACCAAATATTTAGTTGGGTTATCATAATAATTTAAGGAGCCCAATAAAGGGTCAACCAAAGTTGATAAAAATATTTGGACAACCCGAATGCTATTTTGGTCCGACCTACCGAAAATAGCAGGAATAATTGGGAGGGATTTCCTACACCCACTTGGGGTATCCTATACACTAAATTAGCTCAAATAATAAGGGAGGGGGCCACACAAACTTGGCTTGTGCGTACATGAAGGGAGAGGAAGTCTCCATGAGACAAAAACAACACCCTCATGACCCCATCACCAAATTATTTTGGTTGATTGGCTTGGTGATACCTCCCCCCTATCCTCTTGCATCACTCGGCCAACACAAGGAGGAGGAGAGCTCAAGGAAGGCCTCTCACAAGTTCCAAGCTTGAAGGAAGCACCACAAAAGAAAATCCAAGGAGGAGAGGGTTGTTCTTGAGGTAAGAACACAACTAGTATTTCTTTAACTAGTATTAATCTTGTATGATTTTTGAGAAATCATATGGTGGATTAAACATGGAGTTCTTCATGTTTAAAAGTGTGGAATAATGTTATAAAGTGGTGGTATTTAACTTAGAAGAGTCGTGGAATCGATAGGAGTTGAAATCGCCGGAAACCGCCACTTAAAGGGAGCTGTTCGTAGCTGCAGACCACGAAAGCCGCCCACCTTTCACGAAAGCCGCCCGGCTTTCGTCTGCTGCCCAGATTTTTCATCTCCAAACGGTTTAGAACGGGGATTGATCGAAGGGCTTAACAAGGACAACTATTTCAGCACTTCATAAGGTGAGGATGGCTGACTATGTTGTTTATAATCTTTGGGTTAATTTCGTAAGATTACCTAAAGTAGTTAAATGTTATTTTCATGGATTATTAATGATTAATAATGCCTAAATGAAAATATTGTTGTCAAATGAATAAAGGAGCATAATATACAAATTTAAGGATAAATTGTGTATGATTATGTAATATGAGCATATTGGCTTGATGAAGGGATTAACTATGAATATTATGTTGAAATATAATTTTAACTTCATATAAGGATATATGAGTGATTAAAGATTATATTTTGTATATTGATATGAACTATATTTTCAATGGAAAATTAGTTTGAGAATTGTCTATATGACTATGAACTGAAATGAGATTTTGTTGGAATTTATCCGACTAGTATAATGATACTAGTCGGGGTTTTGGAATGAAATATGTTAGAATTGATCCAAGGTTTGGATTGTAAATTGTTGAGCCTTAAGTAGTCTTAAGAGATACTAAGGTGGATAAGTGATGCTAGGGGTAGTCCTTAAGGGATACCCAAGATAAAGTGAATAATAAATTGATCCTAGGAATAGGATTGGCCTACGGGTGTATTCGGTAGTCTTTAAGGATTAGCCGATAGAGTATTGGTAATTAGTAAGGACCATGGCCCTTCCCGACTCTAGAGAGCGGGGTTGGATAGCATGGACTTACATCGTGATCACGGGTTAGGGTGGAATCCGAACCGGAGACCTTACGAGGCTCCCGACAGCGGTAACACATAAGATAGGACCCCGAATGGACCTTACCTTCCTACGGGACGATGGGTATGAGTTCAGGGGCGGGATGTTGGACTCCGGCCCGAGAGCCCGGTGAGGCCTCGGAGAGCGGTGACAAGTCTCGTAAAGGATGATAAGACCTACGGGCGGTGTCGTGCTAACGACGGGTATAATGAAATATATGAAATGGGCCGTGTGCCGACAAATAAATAAATTTACTTATTATAGAGATAATAAGTGGGAAATATAAATTATTATTTATATTATGATATCACCCTATTTTGAGGGTCTTAGAAATTGAAACATTGATTATACTTGGTATAGTTGTCATTGTACTTGTCAAATGCTTCCAAGTACTGACCTCCCCTTCACGGGGGAGGCCACCTCACAGTTTCAGGTAGGGAGTAGAGCTTGCTACCAGTGCCCGTTGCCTCGGGAAGATCTAGGAAGGAAGACGTGGTTCGTGCTTCCTCCGTCTCTATGTTAAAAACATTTCAATTAATGCTCATGGATATTTTTGAATGATTATTGGGGCTTGTATGCCCATGTTTGCCGGAGTGTGGCATAAACACTTGTATTAAACGTTTCCGCTGACTTCAATTGATTATTTTACATTATGTTTGTTTATGGATGTACTATTGTGAATGATATTCAAGACGCCTAGTATAGTATGGATGAGTTGGACCGCGGTTGACTATTCGTACTGTACGGCGGGTTGTTTACGTGTCCGGTAGGTCCGGGGCGTGACAGTAGTTGAGACTTCCAACTAATGCAAGAGCCACACAAAGTAAAAACATAAGAAGTGGTCGACTTCCTGTTATCTCTATCATTTGCATAGTTAGAATCAACATAACCAATCAATTCAATACCACTAGCACATTTAGAGAAAATTAATCCATGCTTCACAGTAGAAATCAGATATCTAAGTAACCACTTAAGAGCATTCCAATGGGGCAAACCAGGGTTGGACATATATCTACTCAAGCAACTAACCGCATATGCAATATCAGGTCTAGTGCTAACCATAAGATACATCACCGACCCTATTGCGCTGGAATAAGGCACAGATTTCATTTTCTCAATTTCAGGAGCAGTCTTGGGAGACTGGTCCTTACTTAACACAAAGTGAGATGCCATAGGGACATTAACAGGAGAAGCAGATAACATATTAAATTTACTCAAAACTTTTTCTATGTAAGAAATCTGATTCAAAGTAAGAGTACGCTTACTCCTATCCCTAACAATGTTTATGCCTAGGATCCTCTTGGCATCACCTAGGTCTTTCATGGCAAAATTCGCACAAAGACATTTCTGCACATCTTTAATAGTATTCAGAGAAGGACTAATTATCAGCATGTCATCCACATAGAGTAACAAAAATACAGGCACAGAAGAAGTATTTTTGAAATACAGGCAATGATCACAAACAGATTTTTGGAACTTCAAAGATATCATGCATTTATCAAATTTGATGTTCCACTGCCTAGGGGATTGCTTCAGGCCATACAAAGCCTTCCTAAGCAAACAGACATGCTCACTTCTCTTGGGATCCACAAAGCCCTCAGGCTGGGTCATATAAATTGTTTTATCCAATTCACCATGCAAAAATGCAGTAGTTACATCCATCTGTTTCATTTCCCAGTCATGGTGAGCAACTAAAGCAAACATCATACGAATAGTGGTGAATTTAACAACAGGAGCAAAGATTTCTGCATAATCTACCCCCTCTTTTTGAGTAAACCCCTTCGCAACCAACCTAGCCTTAAATCTAACATCACTAGGTTCTTCCTTAACCTTAAACAACCACTTACACTCAACTACCGAACAGTTGGGGGGTCTAGGTACAAGGGTCCAAGTCTGGTTCACTCTTAAAGAGTCCATCTCACTTTTCATGGCACTAATCCATTTCTGAGACTCTTTGGAACCTAAGGCTTCACGGTAGGTCTTGGGTTCATTCAGCTCTAGGGATTCAAACACAGAAAATGCAAACATAGAAGTATCATGCACAATGAAAGCATAATCAGGCATACTATCAGCAGTTCTCCTGATAGCCCTTCTACTCCTATCTCTAGCAAGTTGATAATCATGCAAATTATCACTACTAGGCTCCACATGCAACTCATGCAAATTATTGTTATCATGAAAATCAGATTCAGCACCCATATCATGCAAATCATGCTCAGTATCATGCAAATGCTCCACCTCACTCGAGGTGGTGGGACTATCATGCTCAGAGGAATCAGAATCATGCATAACAATATCATCAGAAATGACAGGATCAACAGATAAAGGACTAGCAGCAACAGGGACAGACTCCACCTCACTAGGAGTACTATCAGACCTAGACTCAGGATTAGAAGCAGACTCGGTCAAGCAAGGAAAATCAGTTTCATTAAACACCACATTTCTGCTAAGGACCACTTTAAAGCCTACCTGGTTCCTATCCCATAACCTATAACCCTTTACCCCCTCTGGATAACCTAGGAAGACACACTTCTTAGACCTAGGATCCAACTTGTCACCCTGTTGATGTACATACGCTGCACAACCAAACACCCGAAGGTTAGACAGATCAAGAGGCTTACCGGTAAAGACGGTTTCAGGACACTTACCACCAAGAGGGATAGACGGGGACCTATTAACCAAATAGGCAGCAGTAGTAACTGCTTCACCCCAGAATTTCTTAGACAAACCAGAGGTAGCTAACATGCTTCTAACCTTATCCAACAGAGACCTATTCATTCTCTCTGCTATCCCATTCTGTTGGGGAGTATAAGGCACAGTTTTGTGCCTTTTTATCCCACAATCCACACACAACTTATCCATCTCCTTATTACAGAACTCTAACCCATTATCGGTCCTAAGGGTCTTAACCTTCCTGCCAGTCTGGTTTTCAACTAGGGTTTTCCACTCCCTAAACCTCACAAACACATCAGACTTGTGTTCTAAAAGGCAAACCCACACCTTCCTAGAAAAGTCATCAATAATAGAAAGGAAATATTTCCTACCCCCGTGGGTAGGAACACTGGCAGGACCCCAAACATCGGCATGAACATATTCAAGCACAGACGAACACTTAGACAGATTAGGGTAAGAGGAAGGAGGGAAACTGACTCTATGCTGCTTGCCTAACACACATGATTCACAGAAAGGCACAAAAGTCACAGAGTCCTTACCAAAATAACCAGCCCTACGCATGACATCTAAACCCTTATTGCTCATATGTCCTAGCCTATTATGCCACAAAGAGGTCTTATCAGAACATACAACATTCACAGACTCAGCAAAAGGTTTAGCATGGCACACATAAAGGTTATTCACCTTCTCAGCTTTAAACAAAACAAGCGAGTTTTTCAGGATTTTCATACAACCATTCCCCCATTTTCCCTGTAACCCACTACTCTCCAAAGCAGCAACAGATAACAAGTTATGACACAAATCAGGGACATGCCTCACATTCTTAATGGTAAACACAGAGCCACAAGAAAATTTCAGACATATATCACCAACACCAAGCACATTGCATCTCTTATTATCAGCTAAGGAAACGTAGCCACTATCACATAACTCATATGTAGAAAACAAATCTCTAAAGGGGGACATGTGATAGGTACAACCAGAGTCAATCAACCATTCATGCTCAGACAGGGAATTTCTCACAGAATTAACATGGTCACAAACCATCAAAATATCACCAAGGTCACATTTATCAACAGCTACACTAGCATGCTCGGTCTTCTTAGGGTGGGGGCAATCCTTAATGAAATGGCCAGTGTTACCACAATTGTAACACACTCTCTTCCTAGATTTGCTCCTCTTCCTCCCAGGCTGACTAGCGTTCTTACCCTGACTATTTTGCTTAGGATTCTTAGACCTACCCTTAGATCTACCCCTAACAAACATAGCCTCACCGGAGTCCCTGGACTGACTAGCACTACCCCTAGCATGCTTCAGGTCTAATTCCTTACTCCTTAACCCATTCACCACAATGTCTAATGAAATCTCATCCCTACCGTACTTAATAGCGGACTTAACATCATTATAAGAGTCGGGAATGGCATTAAGTAATACTATGGGAGTGTAATCATCTATGTGTTTATCACCTGCCTGTTTGATATTCTGTATCAGTTTATTAAACACATCCAGGTTCTCATCTATATCCTTAGTCAGGTCAAGCCTAAACCTAAAGAATTTCTCTAGTAAGAACAACTTCCCTGGTAAAGAGGTATCAGTATAGAGACTATCCAATTTCTCCCACAACTCCTTAGCGGACTCAAGAATACCCACTTTCCTAAGCACAGAATCAGACAGATTCAAGTAAATAGTAGAACAAGCAGTTTCGTTCATTTCAGTTTGCTTAGCCTTATCTTCTGATTCAAGGAAAATACCAGTGACAGCTCTGAAAACTTTTTGCTGTATTAACACACACTTAATTTTCTGTTTCCAAATATCAAAATCAGTTTTTCCATTAAATGGAAGCATACCATACTGATTCGCAGCCATGGTATCAACCACAAAGGAACACAAAGCTAAACAGACAGAATTGACAGAAAAAATAATCCAACCCGGGTTATAAAGTATTCACTTTAATAACCCCGGGCAGCATGCAACACATAGCAAAAAAATGGACATTTTGGCAATTAAACAATTCCGGGCAGAAAATTAAATTTAATTAATATTACCCCTACCACCCAATAAACCACCCCTACGCATAACAAATTAAATTAAATAACACAAAGCAATTTAATTAATCAACTAAAACAAACTACCACAAAGGAGTGAGTTTAGAAAACGTACCTGGGGGTTGGCGGTCGGGATTAAATCAACCGGCGGCCCGCGGGGAGGGGGAAAAAAATTAAATTAAATTTAAATTAAAACCGGAATAAAACAAAAAACATTACTCGAAAAAACTCACCTTCGCGAAACCCTAGGAGAGCGTTTCGACCTTACCTACCCAAATTTAAAAAATTTGGGATTTTTTCTGGAGGGTTGACTACCGTTGACCGGCGTTGACCGACGTTGACCGGCGGCGGTTGACCGACGTCCAGCAGCTCCAGTCCGGTCCACGATCCAGCCCAACACCCCAGCTCCAGTCCAGCTCCAACTTTGTCCTTCACAAAGTCAGTCTCGGTCCTGCTTCCAGCTTTAGTCAGCCCACAAACCCAACAACAATCCAGGTCAGCAACCTAGCAGCCCAAAAAGCCCAATAGCCCAGAGGCTCAACAGACTGCTCCAGCAGTCCAAATCATCATCGGTCCAGCAGCTCCTTCAGTAAGAACGCATCTGGCGTTTCTTGTACGCGAGGCCTGCGACGAACCAAGACCGGCCTCTGTCAATTTCAGAGGAGGACGCACAGAGGCGACGGATGGCGGTCTATCAACGGCGAGGAACGAGCGGCGGCGATTGTCCGGTGTCAGCGATTCTCAGGCAACGGTCAGGACCTCTGGTGGTGATGCACAGTGACCTCGACGGCGGAACTCCCAGGCGACGGCTGAAACTTCGGGTATGCTGTCTTGAGCTTCTGACAAGCCTGATTTCGACAAGCAGAAGTCACGGTGGAAGGCCAGTGAGTTCGTGCGAGCAACCAGGCAACTCCAGCGACCTTGGCGAGTTCCAATTGACGGC